CTTCAGTCTCAGCTGACTGCAGGTTTCCCCAACCTTATAAACAGTACATTTGCATAGTGAAGGAAACTAGCGCCACTGAATGAACAATGTGTTGGGGGGTTAGTTCCATGATTGTTAGTATGCAAATTCTTATGACCATTGATCAATGACAACTAATCAAAGCCTACTGATCAATGGCCATGAGTACCATTCACAGAAAGTGGGGATTGGCTACAATCACAGCATTTTAAGATGGCAAAAGATGTACCCTTGGGCCCCCCTTCTCGATTCAGAGATGGTCAGCATCCTGACAGCCCAATGGACGAAGCTGTCTCTCAGTCTGCGTATTCTGGCCCAGAGGCTCTTCAGTATCCTTCCTGATGGCAGCAAACTGAAGATGCTGTTGAAGGGATGAGTGGAGTCACCTGTAATGGAGAGGACCTTCCAGATGAGGCAGGTGCAGTAGATCTCCTGGGGAGGGAGGCAAGAGAGGTCCCCACAATGCTCTCGGCTGCTCTCACTACCCGTTGTCATTTTTTCCTGCAGAACCCAGTGCAGGAGTCATACCACACAGTGATGCAGCTGGTGACGATACTCTCAACTGTGCCTCTGTAAAAGGTGCTCATAATGGGGGTTGAATCTCTTGTGCTTCTCAGTTTGCAGAGGAAGTAGAGTTGCTGTTGGTCTTCTCCACATTCAGGGACAGGTTGTTGTTGCTGTACCACTCTGCCAGATGGTTAACTTCACCCCTGTAGTAGATCTCATCGTGGGTCAGCAGAGTGAAGAGAAGGGGGCTCAACACACATCCCTGGGGAGCCCCCGTATTTAGTGTTCTTGGGCTGGAGGTGTTGCTGCCAACCCGTACTGTATGCTGTCTTCCTGTCAAGAAACCTAGCAGCCCGTTAAACAGCAAGGTGCTGATCCCCAGCAGACCCAGTTTGTGAATGAGTTGCTGGGGAATGATGATGCTGAAGGCTGAACTGAAGTCTATGAACAGCACTCTGACATATGAGTCTCTAGTGTTCAGATGTGTGAGGGCTGAGTGAGGGGCAGTTGAAATTCCATCATCAGTTGAGCGTTTTGACCAAGATGGGAACTCAAATGGATCCAGGTTGGGGGAAAGTGGTAATTAACCGTTCAAAGCACTTAACTTAATAATGATGGAGGTGAGTTTGACAGAACGGTAGTCCTTAAAGCAGGAGGTAGATGACTTCGTGGGTTCAGTAATGATGGTGGAGGCTTTGAGGCATGTGGGAACGACGGCCTGACCCTAGTGATGTGTTAAAGATGTCTGTGAAGACATTTGTGAGTTCCACAGCATAGTCCGTCAGTGCTCGTCCAAGGATGTTATCAGGATCTGGAGCTTTGAGTGTATTGATTTTGGCAAGGGATCTCCACACACTGTCTGGGGATTGTGTCACCACGGTCTGTAGAGTGGGCTTGTAGTCTGTGATGGTTTGTATTCCTTGCCACTGCCTCCAAGTATCTCTGCTGTCGCTGAAGCTTTGCTGTAGTTGATGTCACGTGACAGGTTTGCCATTGCTGTTCTTAGACTCACCTAATTCCCGGCTCTGAAGGCTTGCATTTTTCAACCTTAGGAGCATTTAAACCTGACCTGTGAGCCATGGTTTCTGATTGGCCCGGACAGTGATAGTCCTGGTCTCTGTGATATCATCAATGCATTTTGGGATGTAGGCAGTAACAGTTTCTGTATATTCCTGAAAGTCTGTGGTGTTGTCGTGTGTGGCGGCCTGTGGTGGAAAAGCAGTCTTGCAGTGCCTCTGAGGACCCTTCTGGCCACACCTGTACCTGCTTACGAACTGGTTTGGTGACTTTGACCAGGGGCCTGTGGGAACCCATGGCACACCTAGGTTTCTGCCTGTACTGACCCTTATGCAAAATAGGTGGAATTAAGACACAATTCCAAAAGCAAACACAACTGATCAGTGCTGAGACTGGTCCTGTTGCTGAGGTTGGGGTGATCCTGTAATCTCTTATGAACTACCTCCAACACTTCTATAACTGGGATGCAAGTGAAGACAGATGTAACATCTCTCTCTCACTGTACATGTACTGTTTATAAAATTAGGGAAACATAACCCGCACAAACAAAATAATTTGCAGGACAAATGTTTGACATCAATTTTGTTCGATTTGAAGAAGGTAGGGGGGGCCAACTTCACTCACATGTGTTTATAAGGTTGGGGAAACCTGCAGTCAGCTGAGACTGAAGAAGTCACTTGGATGAGTGACGAAACGTTTCTCTAACTGAAAATGTCCAGATGAACAGAATCAACCTTTTGGGATTTACTTACCTGGATGATTAAGCACGCATCAAGACGTTATTTTATTAAAAATTTTAAAATGTTAGCAGCACAAACAAAAATTTTTGCAGCACAGACATCAATTTTGTTTGATTCCATTAATGTAGTTGGCTGGTTGACCTCTGATGACCTCTAGAAATTTTTATTAATATCTTTAAAATGATCCTGGCACAAATTAAAAGTTTTACAGCACAAACGTTTGATACCACTTTTGTTGGATTTGAAGAAGGTGGGGGGCCAACTTCACTCACATCTAGCAGCTGGTTCATTTGTGCTGCCAGATACTCATGGAGTGCAGTCATCTTCTTCAGCCAGGTGTGAACCATGTCAGGTCTGACCTGTTCTTGGATGTCTGCCACCGTGATGGTTACTGGACCCTTTTCAGGGAGGTCGTTGTAGCCTGCCCTTAGGTCCACTAGCCACTGAGCATTGCCGTTATGGGTTGCATCCTTCTCCGATATTGTCTTCCAATATTGCTTTGTCTCCAGCGTGTGGTTTTCATATTGTTCCCTTGCCACTGAGAGTACACCTTAGCTGGTTCTCTGGAGAACAGCTGGTTTATCCTTCTGCCTTCTCTCTCCCAAGTGTACCTCTTCAATCGGCTGGCCAAGGCTGTGAGTAATTGCTTGGCAGTTTTTCAGGCAGGCCTCAGGTATGGACAGCTTGCTATAGTTCTTGGACACCTTTGTCACACCTTTTTGCAGCTCCGACAGTTGGCTAACCTCTCTCCATGCTACCTTGATACTAGCCTCCAGACTCCTTCCCCATAGGGGTATTGCTTCTTATGGCTGTTCAACTTGTAGCCAAGCATCTCACTGATCACTCCTGCTGTAGTGTATACCAGCTTGTTAGTCTCAGTAATCGTGGCTGTAGGTATCGTCCATAGCGCTGCATTTACATCATCTAGTAGATCTGCTGAGGGTACTTCATTTATTCTTGCTAACCAGCTACGGGGACCCAGGTTTCCCAGTTCCTCTTGCACTCAACGATCCTTCTTCCATTGCACTTGAGGCTTGGTACCCAATCTCTGGCTGCAAGAGCAATCTCTTCTTTCGAATGTTGTAACACTGAGCTACTAGTGATATGTCGGTCGCGAACGAAATGGCTCTTAGAGCCGGATCTTTGACGTGAACGACGTTAGCCGGCTCCTTGCCCTGTTTTTTTTCTCTCTCTCACCCTCTCCGTCGCCCTTTTTTTCCTCTTTACTCGGCACACGAGCCTTGTGCTTTACGCTGGGAAGAGGCGGGAGGTGCGGTAGTTACACTCGCAGTACCACAGGAACAGAGCGGAAGGGAAAGAGAAAGACAGCCAGGGACAACAACCTCACATTAGAAAGGTATAGTGGCTCTCCCTCTGTGGAAGAGGTTTTTTTCTCCTTTTCTTGTGTTGCAGATCTGCCTCATGAGCCACAGCTGAGGTGTGTTCCAGCTCATCAGACACGGCGTGCTGCGGGAAAGCCTGTTCTAACGTTTGAGTCTAAGGTTTATTTTTAGCACGTGGCGGCTCTTTTTTACTTCTCAGCCATAAATACTCTGCATACTTTTTCACATCATTCAGTTTATTTTGAAAAGTCTCAACAGGATCTTGAGCTTTATTGTGAAAGGTTTGTGGAAAATAAACAAGCAGACTTGCAATGTTTTTACCATTGTTGTTGCTAACGACAACGCATAAAAACAGGCACTTGTCCGTCCGTTGTGTGGTTATATTAAATATAAGAGAAAGAGAGAACTTTAAGAAATTAATATAGCCACTACAGTGACCATCAAAACAATATTGCCGTAAACGTTTATTTTGTGACACCACAAAACAAACGATAACGTAAAATGAAACTATAGATGTTTATATACCATCATCCGGTATATATATCGTTATATCGAACAGCTCTACCCACTGATGCCTTCTTGTTTCAATAGTCCACTTCTCATCAGGGTGCCCTGGTTCCTCAAAACCTGATGTGGACCTTGTTGAGCGAAATAGAAGAGCCACCTTGGCAGAACAAGATTAAGCTGTTCCTCTAAAGGACAAAACTCACTCTTTCAAGGTTGCCAATGTTCACAATTTCCATTATGAAAATAGGGATGCAAAATAGACCTAAATCTTTGAAAAGACCAGTGCATAAAACATGTTTCTATTGTCACACTAAGTGTCACAGTTTTTAAATTTTAGAGTTTAATAATCCACTGAAGAAGCAACTAAAATGGCACCTGCAATTTCTATATACAGTAGGTTAGCAGTTTATGTAAATAACATTTTAATTATCAACAGTATCAATCAGAATCCTGACCTTAGAATTTCCAGTGTGCAATATGAACTCATCACTCCAATGCACAGAAACTTCACTCCTGAGTCCCGTAGGTCATTGTTACTAAGATCCAGCTCTCTCAGACTAAAGTACTGGGAGCAGAGAACTGAGGACAGAACATCACAGCTTCTATCCGTGAGGTTGCACACACTCAATCTGAAGGACACACACAAAGAAAACACTAGCTTTACAGTGTATTGATAGTGGTAGTTTGTAGATTTGACGGTTCTAATCTTATTTTAGAACTGGCTGGAACTCTTATTGTCTTATTATAAATAGACCAGAGGTGTGGTAGTTTTTAGATACAATTAGCACTAATAAAACAACAATAAATGGATGAAGCTGACTTTTATTACTTGTTTTTTGAAAAACAAACAAAAGCTCTTTGATCTGACCTCAGATTTTCCACTGTATAATGTTGAGTCTTTAGTCCACTGCAAAGAAGCTTCACTCCCGAATCCTGCAGATTATTATTACTTAGGTCCAGCTCTCTCAGACAACAGGATTGGGAGCTGAGAACCAATGAGAGAGCTTCACAGCTACTCTCTGAGAGTTTACAGTGATTCAATCTAGAAAAAGAATGGCATGTATTAAAATTAAATCACTTTAGATGAAGAAATCAAACATCAGTGTGGAGCACAAGATCCAGCTCTCTCAGACTAAAGTATTTGGAGCAGAGAACTGAGGACAGAACATCACAGCTTCTATCTGTGAGGTTGCACACACTCAATCTGAAGGACACACACAAAGAAAACACTAGCTTTACAGTGTACTGATAGTGGTAGTTTGTAGATTTGACGGATCTAATCTTACTTTAGAACTGGCTGGAACTCTTATTGTCTTATTATAAATGGACCAGAGGTGTGGTAGTTTTTAGATACAATTAGCACTAATAAAACAACAATAAATGGAGGAAGCTGACTTTTATTACTTGTTTTTTGAAAATCAAACAAAAGCTCTTTTGATCTGACCTCAGATTTTCCACTGTATAATGTTGAGTCTTTAGTCCACTGCAAAGAAGCTTCACTCCCGAATCCTGCAGATTATTATTACTTAGGTCCAGCTCTCTCAGACAACAGGATTGGGAGCTAAGAACCGATGAGAGAGCTTCACAGCTCCTCTCTGAGAGTTTACAGTGATTCAATCTAGAAAAAGAATGGCATGTATTAAAATTAAATCACTTTAGATGAAGAAATCAAACATCAGTGTGGAGCACAAGTCTTTATTAACTTACAAATACATTTTAATCTGGAAAAACATTTAAAGATTTGGAATTGCACCAGTAACAACCTAATCATAACTCTATAATTAAATGTAAACCAGTAAGGACCTGGTTCATTTAGTAACTCTAGTTCAGCACCTGCAGGGCTACAGGCCCTGTTCATATTTCTAATTGTAAAATATACAATTACTGTTGCTAAATGGCAATCAAACCAATACTTTTTATTACATACTTGACCTTGTTTTAGCGTCTGAATTAATCCTTTATACTTGCTCGTTTAGCTTTTTCCTCTTAAGCCCTTCCTAAAATCCTACTTTCTTTTGATTAGCCAATTTAAGGATGCCTGCTAAAGGCACCACTCTGTCCTTTTGAACTACACCATGTCCACTACATGTGCATAGGTTGTGCAAACGGTAAAACCTTTATAGACAATTTCTGGTTTACAATTACCAATAAAATCTTCTCGCATCCATTTGTACATTTCAGAGCCTGATTCTGGAATATGATAGTGGACGTCAACAAATACAAAATCATTGCTTTCTTACTGAGGACTTCTTACTGCATTTAGTCTTTCAAATATGAAATTTATAAAAAAGTGTCCCTGTTTAAAGGGTGTGACAGCTAAATTATTTTGGAGAGAGAACACCAGGTCAGATCTGAGAGAATTAACAATACTCCTTCCAGAACACTGATTATGAATTTTGTTACCCACAGGGACAAACTGAAATCAAATCAATCTACACTGAATAAGTGGACAAAAACTGATTTCTAGGAATCGGTGAATAAGATTAATACGTGCTGACAGCAGGAAACCAAATGCAACATAATGACTAAGATTCAGTTCACCAGCAACTGAAGTACCTGGGTATATAAGTGACTGTGACATTTGAAAAGTGAAGTCATATCTTCAACTAAGCAGGGCACTGATCCTGAGAATTATCCTTTTTCTCAGGGTTGCGGAGTGGTTGGAGCCTGACCTAGTTACAGAAGGGAGAGAGGCAGGCTAAAGCTCTTGGAACTCTTACCCAGGGCTAACATGGAGATACCACCAACCATTTGCACTGACATTCAAACCTATGGGCAATTTAGAATTAACAGTTCACCTAACCCCACCTCTTTGGCCTGTGGGAGGAAGCCGGAGAACCGGGAGAAAACCCACAAAAACAACCAAAAATTAAAAAATGCATTGTAATCTGCATTTTGTAGTTTAAAAAATCATTTTAGAAATTAAGGTATGAATATATATGTACTTACAGAGCTTTGTTGGAGGCTTTGACCACTGGCAGCAGCCTCAGAAGAGCCTCCTCTGAAGCAGAGTATTTCTTCAGGTCAAACACATCCAGATATTCTTCTGATGACAGTAAGATGAAGACCAGAGCTGACCACTGAGCAGGAGACAGTTTATCTGTGGAGAGACTTCCTGATCTCAGGGACTGCTGGATCTCCTCCACTAGAGAACGATCATTCAGTTCATTCAGACAGTGGAACAGATTGATGCTTTTCTCTACAGACAGCTTCTCACTGAGCTTCTCCTTGATGTACTCGACTGTTTCCTGATTGGTCTGTGAGCTACTTCCTGTCTGTGTCAGCAGGCCTCGTAGAAGAGTCTGACTGGTCTGCAGTGAAAGACCCAGGAGGAAGCGGAGGAACAAGTCCAGGTGTCCATTTGGACTCTGTAAGGCCTTGTCCATAGCACTCTGGTAGAAGTGTTTCTCTACAGATTCTCCTTTTTCAGACTTCTGGAAGGTTGTTTTTTGTTGTTCTTCCAGCAGATTGAGTCCAGAGTTGATGAAGGTCAGATGGACATGAAGAGCAGCCAGAAACTCCTGAACACTCAGATGGATGAAGCAGAACACCTTGTCCTGGTACAGTCCTCTCTCCTCTTTAAAGATCTGTGTGAACACTCCTGAGTACACTGAGGCTGCTCTGATATCGATGCCACACTCTGTCAGGTCTGATTCATAGAAGATCAGGTTTCCTTTCTGCAGCTGATCAAAAGCCAGTTTTCCCAGAGACTCCATCATCTCCCTGCTCTCTGGACTCCAGTGTGGATCTGTCTCAGCTCCTCCGTCATACTTGACCTTCTTCACTTTGACCTGAACCACCAGGAAGTGGATGTACATCTCAGTCAGGGTCTTGGGCAGCTGTCCTCCCTCTCTGGTTTCCAGCACATCCTCCAGAACGGTAGCAGTGATCCCGCAGAAGACTGGGATGTGGCACATGATGTGGAGGCTTCGTGATGTCTTGATGTGGGAGATGATCCTGCTGGCCTGATCCTCATCTTTGAATCTCTTCTTGAAGTACTGCTCCTTCTGTGGGTCAGTGAACCCTCTGACCTCTGTCACCATGTCAACACAATCAGGAGGGATCTGATTGGCTGCTGCAGGTCGTGTGGTTATCCAGAGGCGAGCAGAGGGAAGCAGTTTCCCCCTGATGAGGTTTATCAGCAGCACATCTACTGAGGTGGACTTTCTAGGGTCAGTTAGGATTGTAGTTTTGTGGAAGTCCAGAGGAAGTCGACACTCATCCAGACCATCAAAGATGAACACAACCTGGAAGTCTTCAAAGCTGCAGATTCCTGCTTCTTTGGTTTCAGTGAAGAAGTGATGAACAAGTCCCACCAAGCTGAACTTTTCCTCTTTCAGCAGATTCAGCTCTCTGAAAGTGAATGGAAATATGAACTGGATGTCCTGGTTGGCTTTGTCTTCAGCCCAGTCCAGGCTGTATTTCTGTGTTAAGACTGTTTTCCCAATGCCAGCCACTCCCTTTGTCAGCACTGTTCTGATTGGTTCATCTCTTCCAGGTGAGGCTTTAAAGATGTCTTCTTGTCTGATTGTTGTTTCTGGTCTGTCTGGTTTCCTGTTTGCTGTTTCAATCTGTCTGACCTCATGCACATCATTGACCTCTGCAGTCCCTCCCTCTGTGATGTAGAGCTCTGTGTAGATCTGATTCAGGAGGGTTGGGTTCCCTGCTTTAGCGATCCCCTCGAAGACATACTGGAAGTTTTTCTTCAAGACAGACTTAAGATTATGTTGACAAACTGCACCATAGAGTTCTAAATGAAAAAAGAAAATATTTTTAAAAAGTCAATATTACTTTTTAGTTTAGTTTTATGTTCTTGCCAACAAACTGAAGCGAAAAGTTCTGAATTATAATTTTTTTTTTTAAAAATGGTCATGTTTTACAAAGTGCTCATGATAGATTTGACCAAATAAAGAAATAATTACATTAAATTAAGTCTCTCTCTTGAGATATTAGCAAATTCTTATTCACCCAACTGCTTAAATCTTGATAGAAATCCTCTTACTGTTCTGCAGGCGATAAGCCAGCTCCTCCTGTTTCATTCTCCTAAGGAAGTCCAGTGTGATCTTCACAAAGGCCTCTCTGCTGCTCCTCCCCTGCTTATCATCCTCTCTCTGACTCTCTAAGCATTCTGGGTAATCTAGACCAAGAACCTTCTGGATCTTCTTCAGCTCATTCTTCACAAAAGTGATGATGTTGTCCTCCAGCAGCTGGAACAGAATGTGTTATGAATGATCCATTCCATGATCACACTAATACGTTTTAATTTTAAAAAACATCTTTTTCTCTCCGTTTTGGCCTTCTGTCTACACTGAGATGGTGTTTCTGGTCAAGGAAAACTGAGCTTTTTAAAAACACTCTCCAAAGTGGATACATTTGAAAACGCACTTTTTGTGTCGCAGTGTGTGCAAAAACAGAGGCTTTTAAAAACGATGACACATTCATGTGACCAATTCAACGAGAAGGCATTGCTGTCTATATTTGCGCTCACTTTGCATCTTTGTACTTTTGTGCTACTCACAGCAACAACTTCAACTCATTGTCAGTTCATTTAAAAAACTTGTTGATTTTCTTCGACATTTTGCCACAATGTTTCAAAGAGCCGGAAAGTAAATGAACAGCAGACAGAAATGACGCAGGTCGAATGACCTTATTTTTTAACGCATGCGCAGTACAGAACACAAGTGTTTTCAGTCATTTCAGTATGGATAAAAAACTTTTTGTAAAAAATTGAAAATGATAGTGTGGACGTGGAGCATTTTTAATTTATCCAGATTGCTGTAGACGTTACCCCAGTTAGACACTGAAATCATGCAGCCAAACATCAGATCCATGTTGGACACACTGGCAATCCACTGGTCTACAAAGAGCAGCATGGAGATGACTGTGAACACAATAGATGTAAAAGTAGTTGCTGTACATGTACAGACCATAAATATGGAGTCCAGGTCTGTTTGATGCTGCTGGACAGACTGACCACTGGGAACCTCTGAGCTCTGCTGGTCCACTCTGTGGAGGAATTGTGGGAAGTAGTTCACATTGAGACATTTTTACTCGCCACACACACACACACACACACACCTCGACGTGAATGACAGCATTTGTTGGTTGTTGGAATTTTAGGTGATTTTACCACCTAAAAGATGTAGGCATAGTCACTTTTGCCTGAGTTTTCCTTTCAGATAATAAAATGATGAATAGGAAATCAAATATACAAATTATACTCAAGTGTTCTACCATTCTTAATCATGTTCATATTGCAGCTGGTTGTATATGATCCTAAATGATAACGCAGTGTCTTATCTACAGTCAGTACAAAACTATGTTACACTGAATAATGTGGAGCTGCAGTTGTAGCAGGAGTAGGCCTCAAAACAACTACACCAAACAACAAAAACTAGAATTCCAGCCTTACTCACAAAGCGAAACACAATGAGTACAACTGTATCCTTCAAGTGCTACACAACCTGCAGGCTGCTGAAGCAGAGCTGCACATTCACAGACTCACACCAACAACAGTAAGTATGAGCTACATTGGCTGTTGACTAGCCTCACTAAGAGTTACAAGAGATGACACTAAATCCACAAATTCTTTTATCTAAAGGTCACATACACAAAGCAGCTTTACAGAGGTCATCGTGACTACCACGTGCTGCCTTTGACAGCTGTTTGACACGTCAGCCATCTTACTCTAGAACTTCTCAGGTTGCTGTACACCTTAAAAGTTTGGCTAACTTTGACTTGTTTATCTGCAGTGGACTTCATCATCATACCAAAGGCCAAACCAGTGTCAGTGCACAAAATAACAGAGTGATGCTGGTCTATTTAACTTCTAGAAACTAAAGTCACTCTCCACTTTTCAGAAAATTCATTAAAAAAAATAAAAGTCTAATCTGTTAAAATGTAGAAAGGAAAGTTTCCTCTCTGACTGACAGTGTTTGAGTCATTTTTGATGCTCTGAGTTTTATGAGGAAAATTTGTGCCACAAAGTTAGTGTTCCCTCTTCTAACTTCCAACAACATCCAGCACAACATGACTGATGGAAGAAAACATTCGCACGCGCATCAGTTCCTGTTTGCTGAAGCGGATTTTCAGTTGTTTAGAAACCAAAGGCTTGTTTTTAAGAGACGGTTTAAAGGGGATGACGTGTTTGCACTGCAGTTTATATCAAACAACATCAAGCAGTTAAATCAAAGAGTTCATGTTACTAACAGCTCACCTCTCTGCAGCAGACACAGGCTGATCTTTAAATTGAATGGGTTCACCCCTAGACCGTTCACTCCGAAAGGTCACACAGCTGGGTCCAGGTTCAAGTTCAGTAGGTCTCCTGTGGATCCTGTGAGAGAAGAATGTGTTTTTCATTTGCAGCCACAGAAGCTCACAAAGACTTAGAATACCTTCATCATCCCAAAGAGAAACTGCTTTGCAACTGAGCATGAGCAGAAGGAAACTCCAAACTAAATTAAGAACAGAGCTCAACTGATTGACTACTGTGTGAGCAGCAGGAGTTTGAATGTTGGACCTGTTTTATAGAATAAAGGAATTCCTTGCTTAGTGACTTCCTTTGACCAGGAAACAACATCAAGCAGTTCATTTAAGTCAGACATCAAAGACTTTATGTTTATAACAGCTCACCTCTCTGCAGGAGACGCCTGCTTGACTTTAAAATGAATGTAGCGATCATTAGATGAGTCACTCTTACAGGACGCAGAGCTGGGTGGAGGTCCAGGCTGGTTCCTGTGAATAATGATGGAGCAGTGATGTGAGTGCTGAGCTGTGACATGGAGAAGAGTCATGGACAGTTAGAGATGGTCATCTCACCTCTGAGCTTTGGTCTGGCTCTCATGTTCCCCACACAGAGTGCTTTTAGAGGGAGGGACTCCCTCCTCTCTGTCCTCACACTGATCCATGCTGCTCAGCTCACACACACTTTCTACCTGCAGAGGAAACACAAATCATTCACGTGCACATCAACTACTAAGATCAGGTGACTTCAAAGTGCAGTAAGTCATTCATTTGATGTGTTTGAAAACTTACCTTGGGATTTAGTGTATTGGGTGTAAAACTCAAAGTTAAAGTGGTGGGTGGGCTCATTTTGACAGAATATATAATATTTCATGAATGAATTAAATGCAGAGTGTAGACTTTCGTTTATAGCATCTACACTGATGATAAAATTACCTAGTATGATTATTTTATCTGAACTCAGCACTGAATCAGATTAAAAACTGAGGAACAGCCAGGTGGACGATAGATTAAAAAAAATATTTGTTGAGTTACATAGTCAGGGTGAAAAATGCAAAAAGTCAAGCTTACAAATGGTGTACCCAAGTATTTATAGAGTAATCAATATGTTGATCAGTTATTAAATAGTTTAATAACTAAAGAATCAGGCTTTCAAAGTGTTCAACCTCTTTGAATAAAAAGAATAATATATAAAACATGTCAATTATAATAGCATTAATATAACAAAAATATAAGTAAAACTATTTGATGCCATAAAAGCTAAACAGTCACTGTAGCTATCAACACTTACTACAGCTACAAGCCAATATTATTTAAAAAATCAATACATTGTTTAAATCAAATGTAGAGAAAAAACAAACTATTCTGCATTATGCCTTTAATACACAATGAACAAGGAATCTCTAAATGGTTCCACCTTTTTGACTTACTTGATTATTTTACTCATTATTCTATTCACTGATTGAGTAATACCATAAGAAATATGGTTGTCTTATTATAGGGCAATAATAAATATTCTAAAGAAATAAAATGAACTGTTTAATACTTTCCATTAACTATTTTAATAATTTAAATGTACAAAAAGTGTTTAATTCATAATAAATGTTTTAAAGCTAAATGTCCTCTTTTCTTCCCTTTTTTAAAAAAAAAGTCTCTCAGCCTAAGTTTTAGTTTTCTATTTTAATGGCCTGTGGAACAAAATGAGTACAAATGGTAAAAATTGTAAATGGTCTGTATTTGTATAGCACTTTACTACTCCCTAAGGAGCCCAAAGCACTTGGGTACACCAAATCCTTTATACATGAATACAGTTTAATTAATATCATATTTTATTTATATTACACATGAATGTAACCTGCCAAATAATATAACCAAACACTTGAAATAAATATATCGAGAACACCCCATGCCCCCCGTAGACTAAGCCCTGCTTACTGCAGGTATCACTGCCACATAAAGAACCATGAGGTAGATCTTAAACATGATGCTATGCTGCTGTCTCCAAAAGTTGATTCGGTTCATCTGGACTGGGAGGTCAGTTCTTTAATCATAATTATGCAAATTCTCATGACCATTGATCAACAACCACTGACCAAAACCCATTGATCAAAGACCACTGATCAATCGCCATGAGGACCATTTGATGGGTGAAACTGGGGAGCCCATGGCACACCCATGTGCCAGGAGTCTAGCCGTCCATCTAAACAAAAGGCACTTAGACTAAAACTGACATAGATATATTTATCCTGCCATGTGGCAGGGTGGCGCTGTCACTTGGTGTTCGCTCGCTCTGTGGTAGAGTATCACTTCCCGTTCCTGCTCAAACACAGTGGTGTTTCTGAGTAGCTTATTTGCTTAGCGATTTAATTAACAACTTTTAAATACATTCTTCTTTCATAGTATAATCTTCACGTGCTTCATCCGAAGCACACTTTCTGTGTACTCACTACCTAATTTATAGCCAAAGTATTCACTCACTGTCTCTGTACTGTCTCGCTAGCCTAGCTTAGCTCGTAGCCGACTCATTAGCACCATGGCTACTTCACCTGTCCCTCCTGCACTTTCTTGCTCATTGTGTCAGATGTTTAGTTACTCCTCGGCCTCCTTTAGCAGTAATGATATCTGTAACAAATGTAGCATATTTGCAGCGCTGGAGGCCAGGATTACTGAATTGGAGACTCGGCTTCGCACCCTTCATTCACCCGTAGCTAGCCAGGCCCCTGTAGCTGGTGCAGCCGAAAATAGCTTAGGCCCCGCTAGCTGTTCCCCGGCAGGTCCCAAGCAGCTGGGGAATCAGGGAGGCTGGGTCACAGTGAGGAGGAAGCATAGTCCTAAACAGAAGCCCCAGGTACACCACCAACCCGTTCATGTGTCTAACCGTTTTTCCCCACTCGGCGACACACCCGCCGGGGGTCAAACTCTGGTAATTGGCGATTCTGTTCTCAGACATGTGAAGCTAGAGACACCGGCAACCATAGTCAATTGTCTTCCAGGGGCCAGAGCAGGCGACATTGAAGGAAATTTAAAACTGCTGGCTAAGGGTAAACGTAAATTCAGTAAGATCATAATTCACGTCGGCAGTTATGACACCCGGTTACGCCAATCGGAGGTCACTAAAATCAATATTGAATCGGTGTGCAACTTTGCCAAAACAATGTCGGACTCTGTAGTTTTCTCTGGTCCCCTCCACAATCAGACCAGGAGTGACATGTTTAGCCGCATGTTCTCCTTAAATTGCTGGCTGTCTGAGTGGTGTCCCAGAAACGATGTGGGCTTCATAGATAATTGGCAAACCTTCTGGAGGAAACCTGGTCTTGTTAGGAGAGACGGCATCCATCCCACTTTGGATGGAGCAGCTCTCATTTCTAGAAATATGGACAAATTTATTAAACCCCCCAAAATATGACTATCCAGAGTTGGGACCAGGAAGCAGAGTTGCAGTCTTACACGCTTCTCTGCAGCTTCTCTCCTCCTGCTACCCCCCCAAAAACCCATCTCCATAGAGACTGTGTCAGCTTCCAAAAAGACAAAAAACAAACTAAAAACCAGCAACAAACAACTTAAACATAAACAATTACAAAGAAAGAACAATACAGTATCCACATCTGAACCAAAGAGTAAAACAGTGAAATGTGGATTATTAAATATTAGGTCTCTCTCCTCCAAGTCTCTGTTAGTACATGACTTAATAATTGATCAACAAATTGATTTACTTTGCCTTACAGAAACCTGGTTGCAGCAGGATGATTATGTTAGTTTAAATGAATCAACACCCCCGAGCCATTCTAACTACCAGAAATCTCGAAGCACAGGCCGAGGGGGAGGTGTGGCAGCAATTTTTCACACCAGCCTATTAATTAATGAAAGACCAAGACAGACTTTTAATTCATTTGAAAGCCTGATGCTTA